GCAACTTCAACTACGTCATCAACCAGACCAAGTCGCCATCGTCGCCCACCAGAATGTCTACAAGTAGATCCTTATTGTAAGATGTACCGTTGTTTATCTTAGGAGGGAGGTGTTGTAGAGCCGTCCCTTATAATGGAACTTGCTCGCTCACTATAGGCTAGGTCGATATGGTCTCTGTGGTTGCGGCGTGCCCGCCGCACTTTAATATATTTTGTGTGTTGTTCCTGAGCTATTTCTAGTGAACCCTCGGCATGTACGCCGATAGGCAGAGGGGGAACTCTTGTGTTTTTCTAATAAATCGTCAACGACTCAGCGCGTTCTACTACAAGTCGGAAGTCCACGAAAACCACGAGAAACTCCCGTTTCAGAACCCGAGAGCAATTTCTTAGAATAAACGGTGATTGGTTGGGCGCCATGGATGAGCGACGAACGTCACGCCCATTCAAAGGGGAGAAGCCAACCTGGCGAATCTGTCATCCGAGCGATTTTCGAAGCAGTTTTCTCGCTTCGGAAGCAACTTCTGCCAGCGCGAGTTGGATAAGTATATCGTTGGGGGGCCCACTACTGTTAGGCATCAAAATCTCATCGACCCCATTTTGGGTGGACGGTGCCTTTGACTTCGCGTCGACGGTACAAAAAGTGCTACTCAGAGTGTTGCATTTTTCTGTTACAGAATGACGTAGGAGAAGTCAGCTGTTTTCTGGAGGTTTCCAAAGTTAGCGGCCAAAAGAAGTCCCTACTCGGGGAATCGAACCCGGATCTGGCAGCAGAGAGACGCAACCCATTAGCCACTAGACCGTGGACGCTGCATTGTACCGCTGAGTCAATCTATTTTGGTTGCATTTCTTTACCAAATTTCGAAGAAAGAATTGATGTAGGAGGGGGGGGGGAGAGAAGAGTAAATGCACGAGCTCGCTTCAAATAAAGTAGGGCAGTAAAAATTGTATGAGGTTTCGCAAGTGTTTTTCCCACATTAAAGGACGGGTGGGTGCTCAAAAGTCCTTCTTGGCAGAAAATTCCTACTATACCTTACGATTCTCTTATAAATGATAATTCAACCAGCGGCAGTGTTGTGCGCGTAAATATGTAGCGCCACTCCACTGCAGCGCGCGCTAAGCCAACGACTTAATCTGATAGAGGCAGTGTAGAGTCGAGTAGATTTTCCGCATGATATAGTGTGCTTGCACTTTACGTAATACGTGGTAGAATTTGCGCGTAAATATTCAGCCACGCCAGTAATGTTGGCAGCCTACGCGCGCAATTGGGCGGCGTCAAAGGCATAGCTATTTGTTCACGCGCATTATAGCATTTCACCTACATGCAAAACTATGTTGGTCGAAGCAGCAGCGTTCGTTCCCTGCGGGCGATGGGAAATATACCTATGCCTCTATATCAGTGGCGTACCCAGGATTTCGGCTCGGGGGGGGGCGCGACAAAAATTTTTTTTAAAGAAGGTGCGTGGCGTTAGCCACGCACTCCGAAAATTTTTTGGGGTGCTTCTCAAAACTTTTGCGGGTCCCCGACCCCTAAAATCTAGAAAAAGGGGGCGTGGCGTTAGCCACGCCCCCGGAAATTTTTTTTTACAAAGCTAATTTGAATTTTTAAAAATTTTTAAAAATTATTTTAATTATTCACAAAAATAAACAAGTCACTTGAACATTTTTATAACCCACATAGGTAACTTTCAAAAATTTCGCGACCCATTCTCGGGGGGGGGGGGGGCGCGCGCCCCCCCCGCTCCCCCCCCCCTCGGTACGCCACTGCTCTATATCTATACCTCCTAAATGCTGATACTGCCCTTGCCCTGAGGAAAATCTAACCCCTATCATAATATTAGGTCGTTCCGAAAGTAATGTCGCTTTTTTCAAACGAACGCCACATCTCGTGGAATAAAGATGTGTAAGAGGTTCTGGTAGCATTTGATGCAGCATTTCATTCTCTTTCTAATGGTTATGAAGCTGTTGCAATACAATCAATGAGCTTCCAGAAAAGAGTCAAAATCTGCGACTTATGCTTTTTGAGATGGCCAAATTTCACAATTTTTCTAAAATTTTATAACAACTCTCGGAAGGAGTCCAAGTAATGGATGGATAGAGCAAACCCTACAGGAAAAAGCACAACTTTTTTCCTTTTTTTAAAGCTCGTCATCCTCTTCTTATAGATTTTTTGATGGAACCACCGAATTTTAGCGGACTCGTCTAAGACACAAATGCATCAAACACCATCAATTCTCGGATTTTGGAACTAACAAAGATGGATTATGGTTTGACACTAATTTTACAAACCAAATGAGCATTCACCGCTTCAGATTAGAAACTTTCGAAAATTTCGGGTACAGCCTGGGGCGCCCTGGAAAACCTGAATTAAGATAATTTTATCCCGGAAAACTTGATGAATCAGAAACAAAAAACAAGAGGTAAAAAGAGGAGAAAAAGCTGCGTCGAATGACACCCGAGTTGCTTGCCGGTTGTTGTTCTGTGAGGTTTGAGTTGATCAAATATGGAATTTGATGGCATTGAAAAAATGGTTCCAGAAACTCTAAGAAGCAAGCTAAGGAAAAGAAAAAAATTATTTTGTGTCCTGTAGGGTTTGCCCTATCTATCCGTCACTTGTACTTCTTCGGAGAATTGGTACAAAAATTTAGAAAAATAGTCGAACTTGACTATGGCAAAAAGCATGAGTCGCAAATTTTGGTAATTTTTCGAGAAATCATTGAATGTTATGCAATGCAATTGTAACCATTAGAAAGAGGATGAAATGCTGCATCGAAAGCTTTTAAGACCTCTCGAAAATCTTGATTCCATGAAATGTGGCGTTCATTTGAAAAAAGCGACATTACTTTCGGAACGACCTAATATATTTTTTGCAGCAGCTTATCTCAGGAAAAGGCCTGCATGGAAATTCTGGCTATCAAAGTGTGGTGTATGGGAGAGAAGCAAAACTTTGCTCATCTTCATCGAGTGTTCGAGAAGCTTTTAAAAAAGGAGATCATGTGCAGGAGAAGTGGGCATTCAAGTTGTTTTCTATCAATGTTTGGCTTCGTGTTCACACTAGCCTTTTGCAATATTTCAGCTCTTGATTGATCGGAGTTTTATGAAAGCCTGAGGATAAGACGAAAGAACGTCTCTCAAATCTTTTTGAAATGATAAGTGTTCTTTATAATTATGTTTTTGATATTTGCTCAACCTGAAGGTTTTGTGTCTTAATATAGTAGTGAACATACTTTTCATTTCACTCGGGGGAAACCAAAAATCTTGCGCAGTCCTCGCACGAAAGGTCGCATGAACTCAGTGCGGTATCAGCCTAAATCGTTTGTTGCTCTATCAACAGCTTTTGTCAAGTCTTCAGCTTTTTGCCACTGCCATCGGTTTTTCTGACAAAGAAGAGAATTTCGAAGCAGGTGTCTAAGGTTGAACTTTCCTGTTTCAAAGTATTAAGTCATGCAAGTTCAATTACTAGCTTCAGAATAGATTACGCGTTATCTGTGAATTCACATTATCTTCAACGTGCTTATTGTTAGAGAGCCAGACGCATACGGGAAGCCTGTTGAGGAAAGCCTGTTGAGGAAAGGCTTCCTTGAGGTTACATTGGTTTTGAGCAGTTCCCAATGAGTAAAACGGACATCTCCCCGATTGGCAGTAAAGTACCTTTCCTTTAAGAAAATATAATTTAAAAGAGCAAAAGTAAGCGTTTGAGTAAGCTTGGAGAAATTGATGTAACATTGGTTTGTTCGCAACCAAGCTTCCCAATGAGTATTTTCTCTTTAGATATCAAGAATTCAGCCGACGTCGGTATTTGGCTGAACGATTGCAGCGGGTACAGGTGTTTTTCTCAATATTGACCAGCTTTATCTAAAAACCAAGGATTTTGTCCAAGAAATACTGCAGGACGAAGGCGTAGAAGCAGTATAAATTGAGCTGCGAAATCAAAACCAGTTGCGGCTACGCAGCTCAAGCAGCATGCAAGAAAAACATGAATACTAGTCAGTCTATCTATATCAAATGTTCACAGTGATAAATATGTACAATTGTGTATGGTTGTTGAAAACAGAAGAGCTGGGAGGGGAATGGGTTTGTTTCGAACCCAAACTCAGAAGGAGGAGGTGTATCTGGTCATCGGGTGCCTCACCTCTTGCTCAATTCTGGCTACAACAGTGTATCCCGCAACTACTGCCCAATGTGGGCGAATACTCTTTTCGTCTTGATTCAAAACGAAGGGCCTGGATGCTCGTCATTTTTATACCATCTCGCGCTCTCCAAATCGGATTTTGCGAAGACGTAAATAACAACATACGCAAAAGAATTCCAAGTCAAAGATTTGCCAAACCACTCCCTTCAACATATCCTCTCGCAGCGACAAAGTGAGTCGCGCATTTGATGCATTAACGCATTTAACGCATTCAATAATGCTATACCCCAGTATGCTTTTCGTAATCCATCTCCATTAAAAACCTCCCGCGTATGTGCTGCTGCGTCTCTGCCCACTTATACTCAGACAGCCGACGACATACCTCCTGAGCAGAAATGGCCGAGCCGCGGGGTTTCCCCGGCTGGGGATTGCCACTTGTGCTCCGGAGCCCTCCCATTAATGCTCCGGAGTCCTCCCATTTTTTGCTCCGGGACCTCCCATTTTGTGCTCCGGAGACCTCCCATTTTGTGCTCCGGAAACCTCCCATTTGTGCTCCGGAGCCCTGCCATTTTGTGCTCCGGAGGTGTCCCAAATCTGGCGCACTCGCGGCGGGCAAATCTCTCCGCCGCGGCTCTCTCAAATCTGGCGTACCTCCGGACCAGATCCGGAGAAGGGTCCCACTCGCCTGCCGGTGACGTCACCGTGACCTACAAGGAGGGACCGCTCCCTCGCCCCGCTCTCAATGGTCAATTGGGTCCGCCGCGGCTCTGCCAGATTTCGACTGTCCAGCGCGACTACGGCACCGGTTGTCTGAATAACTGATAAACCATAGTTTGACAACCACTGTTTTGCTGCTTCATGAAAAACAAACAATGGCTCTTGTTAAAGTGACGACCATTTTTATGGATTGGTTCTACTCGCTTGCAAGTCCGTCAATTCCTCAACTTGTTCTACCTTCATAATTAGCAGGATTAACCATGCTTACTAACAAGGAAAGGATACCTGGTGGCCGTGGTCTTTTGAAATGAAACGCACACCATCAAATGCACTTTGAAGATCTACTGTGCACTCTTCTAAAGAAGTTATGAACATTTGTCACCAAAATTTACACTGTTTTTGATGCAGCATTCACCAGTTTCGTTAGAATGTTCGCTTACGCACCACAAAAGAGCTACAGATAAAGTAAAGCTTTATGTCAAGTTTGGGAGAACTGTCACCGATACTTAGAGTCTAAAAAGCCTGGATACTGACGATCTTGACTGTCTAAATCTCGCAAAATCATTGTGGAAAGAAGTCATAGCTTCGTACATGGAGTCGCACAGCAAATAATGAACATAAATCTGGAATCACCGTTCCAAGACGCACCTACTAGTATAAATCCCATTGCAAAAGGCCACGGTCACCTAGTATCCTCCCCTCGTAAGAAGCGTTCCCCACGTTGCCAAAGTTACCGCTGTACTACGTTACCGTTGTTCATGCAAGAGTTCCTACCATTTCCACCAGCGTTTGCTCTAATCTCATTAGTCCATTAGCAATTCTTTCGGATTGACTAGTACTACCTTACCCTATACTTTTTGGTGTGAAAGAAGACGTTATCATAAGTTGGGAAATTGCACACTAAGGCCCGTATGCACGTACATCCCCGCTGGGGAGGGGAGGGGATCTGAGAGGGGATGCGCCATATCTCGCTACTTTACGTATCTTTCTTCTTCCTTTTCTATCTTGCTTATGAAGGTTCTCATACCCTACTACCTGCGCATAATCGATGCCAGGTTACTGGCATAACTGATTAGATTTGTGCTATTTTGTGTGATCCCCCGGGGATCCCCTGGGGATCTCCAGGGGATCACACAAAATAGTACAAATCTAATCAGTTGTGCCAGTAACCTGGCATCGATTATGCGCAGGTAGTAGGGTATGAGAACCTTCATAAGCAGGATAGAAAAGGAAGAAGAAAGATATGTAAAGTAGCGAGATATGACGCATCCCCTCTCAGATACCCTCCCCTCCCCAGCGGGGATGTACGTGCATACGGGCCTAAAATGAGACTGAACTTATAATTTCGAAAGGTCACTTTGGTATCAGCTTTCACACCAGTGATACTGGTAACGCTGGCTGCAGCAATAACAGCGGTAATAGCGGTGACCATGGTAACAGCAGTGAGAGCAATTTATGGCCGATCTCACAAAGATTAAGGAAAAACAGGCCAGTATGCTAAAGAAGGAGCTACCGCTACTAAGGACGCGGCAGGTAGGCAATTTTATCCAATATCCAACATTACAGGTTACAGCAATAAAAGATTTTGAGTTGATATCGGAGGATACCTCAAAGAGAAAAAACCGGCAATCAAACAGGCTGCAAGTAAGTTGAACTTACAACAAGAGAGGCTAATTAACTAATCTATAATGTGTATATCTGCAGAAGATACCGCTAGTGGCACGAAAGCAGCTGCCTGCAAAACGAGCGAAGCTGTCGGTGAGTGTTGTTATGGGTCTACTTTCAAAATATCATCTAGCTTACAGGATCTGGGTTAACCAAAGTAGGAGAGACACTCAAGTCCGCCGGTAGTAAAGGGACGACTCCGTCGAAAGAAATAGACAGCGATTCTGGGGATTCTGGTAGCCCAAGTGGAAGCAAGAGCAACGAAGCGCACATTGATAGCGCTAGTGGACAAGAAGAAAAAGCGTATAGCCCGTGATATACAAGAAATTTGTCAAAGAAATAACATAGTCTAATTGTACCAATAAACCTTTGAATATGGTTGATTTATGATGTTGTTGCAGAGCAATTTTTCTGTAATTACATTCAACTCTGCTTGCAATTTAGAGATGATGAGTTGCTTAATTTTCAATTAGGACCCGGCAAAGGGGATGTGAAGCTGGAAATCGTTCTAGAGAAAAAAAAACGAATACACGTATAAAACGTATACTAATTGCACGTTCAGATGCACTACTGAAACGCATTGTTTAGGTTGGTTGTCATCTACCCCCTCCCACGCTCGCGCGCAACTCCATCCCTGCCCATCCAGCGATTCGCCTCAAGACCCATAAAGCGTCGTCTGTAACGAAACTGAAGATGGTGTTAGCAGACGCTGAAGAAAATAGAGATACAATGGGAACTCTTATAAACAAAGCAAAAAAAGATGAGCGAAAATTCCTAAGCGCTGGACACTGACCTTTTGGATGGGGTAACGCTTCCTTGTAGCCATAAGTTTCACAAAGGTGAATGTTTGAGACTTATTTCCTTTAATGGCAGGAACAGCTTCTAACCCAGTAGTTATTTAACACCTTGACGACCGTGCCATTTTTGACCATATCAAAATGAACTGATGATCTACGGCTGCGGTTTAAACTTTTTAAACAGCTACCGCAATGCCATGTGTTCTATATGACAACCAGGCCACCAGTATTATCACTGCATAGAAGTTAGCTGTGAAGTTTACACATGATAAATTGATGCACGAAACTGTTAAAAGATGGTTTGGGCATGCATACTCGCGGATGCACACGGTCGTCAACGTGCTAAAATGTGAAGTATCATACAGTATGTCTATTGGTATCCGCATTAGATCTTATAGGGATCTAACTATAAATTTACCTATTCCTGACGCTCGGGACGAGTGGCGTAATGGTATGAAGCGCCGCTATGACAAGGTCGAGCCAAGGCTTCTCCCGCCTTTGGGCCAACCAAGCCTTTTACTCTAGGGGCCGGTAAATTGGTATCAGGGTAATAAGGAGGATAAAAAACTGACTACACAATCGGCTGGCCCCCGCAAGTCACTGTAACAGGCCTGTAGGCATACAGTAGCCTTTTTGGCAATAAAGTAGAATACGTTCGACGCCCCGCAGAGGATGTTGAAGACGCCGAATCCTCAACCTTATCCTTTCATATTCTTGGTGTTGACTATTTTTGCTCTGATAAAAATTGATGCTTTCAATGAGCGAAAATTAAAGAGTCATTCACATGTTTTTCTTACGCTACCATCCAAAAGACCACTTTTTTTGAAAGTTTCAGCGTCTTTCTTATAGTTTCTGTTCTCAATCCAAAATAAAGCTTCCGAAGATTCTGTAGAGTAGTGCAAAACTTTAAGAAATTGCACAATATGGGTAATGTGCGTAATCACACACAGAAAATTTAAACAAGTATGTATACGAATAGAAAGGTTACAAGAAAACTAGCTTCAAACCAGATTACTTCCCCCTCTCTCTTTCTCTCCCCCCCCCCCCCACCATTTATCGGGGGCTGCACTGATCGTTTAAGTACAATCAAGCTCTGTCCCCACTACATCCCCATGGTTTTTCTCGAAGGAAAAGATTTTTTTGTCAGGCTGCGCACGCTCATAAATGCCAGGAAATATAGTGCTTATTATGCGGCATTCAGAATTATCGGTATGCAGGCACTTGAGGAAAAAGCCCTCCAATTTGCTTGTAGAAAGAGATATTCTCGACAGCTAGCGTTTTGAGCATAAGAAAATTTCTGCAAAACTCGACACAAGTTTAGAGACATTGCTATCATAGCGCTGCCAAAAAAGAAAATAAAGCATATATCGTACAATTCTATGCGCTGTAGAGTATTAGTTTAACTGTAGTCGAAGATGCAAAAATATATAGTTTACAAACTTACACTACAACTTACAAACTTACAAAGCTTTCACTTTTTTATCACTTTATATGGGACAGTAATCGCACGTTCAGTTCCATATCTAGTCAGGCAACGATTTAGCCTTGTTCGAACTGTACTCTAAATGAGATCGCTTTTCGTAACAGGAGTTCAGGTGACCCTGCACTGCTAATTGCACAATAAAAAACAGAGAATTACGGATACATCTTATCACAAATAGTTGGTAAATGGGTATCACAGAATGAAGTCGGGCTATTCTAGTGACTAACTTATGACGACATTCCTCATTGTAAGAACTTACTTTCTGCTTCATGGCGGAATAGATTCTTAACTTGAAATAACGCCAAAACTGCAGTTGTACATGAAATGAAAAATTGTAGTACTTCAAAGGACATCCTTTTTATATGCAAAATTTTGATCAAAAGTAGTGAACATAACATTATGGTCTGTTAGTTACACAATGTAATTTTTACAGTTAGTTCTTAGAGATTCAAAAATATTGCTTACGCAATTACTGCAACTTAAATCACCCATTATGCTTTGCGTCACCTACAAAACTTATGCGCATTGTGCATCCACGGTCCTTGCGTGACGGCTTTGAGAATATACGCAAAAGGGCAAGAAAATGTGTGGCAGTGAGGCCTCGGGCATACTTAGCGCGATTGTCGCCACGCGATCTGGCAATTTGCCAGATCGCTTCAAACCCAACACTGGAAGACTATAAACGCATAGCGTGTGTAATATTTGTAAACTGATAGAATGCCCTATTGCCTGCACTTTTTGGAATGTCCTCACGATGAGAGTTATACGCAGTTGGAGTATTGCCAAATCGCGTCGCAACCAGGGTTGAGCGTGGGGTCCGGCACTCCTGACCTGAGGGTCGTATTAGGGGTGGAACCGGGGGGGGGGGGGGGGGATCGTATTTAGGGTGTAGGATCATAAATCGTCCAAAATTTATGAAATGCTGCATTTTTTCCAGGTGCACTGCTAAGAAAAATTCTCTTCATTACCGTTGCCTTTATCAAGCTCCGGTTATTTTAGCTAAGGTGAGAAAATTACAAATATTGTTATTGAGTAAAAAAATGAACTCTTTTCTTAATTTTTTCTTTGCAGGAGTTCGGACGGCTGCACAAAGGATTTGATTACAAATATCATGATTTTGTATATGAACAAATGCTTGATTTTTGTGAAGTTGGAGCTACTAAAGAAAAATAGAGATTTAAATACATCAACACTGATTGCGAAATAAAATATTTACTCATTGTGGTTTTGTGGGTGCCGACAGGAAATATAGACATTTTGGCAAGTTCTTCCTGCAGTAGTCTGTTCTTGATATCATCGGCGTCCTCTCTCGCATTGAGTCCGTGAACTACCATGTGATGCCTTACATGCAGTTTGGCTAATCATACTGACCTTTTGCGAGGTTTTACTTCACTTCTTTCATTAAGCTGCCCTCTCGAACAAGAGTGGATGGCATTCCGGGACTAAGGCCGAGACCTGGAGCAGGATGCATCCATTGAGAAGCTAGTTGTTGTACCTTCACAGTAAGAACACTGGGTCCATTACGTCCACTCAGATAAAGATGCTGCTAAGTCGCAAAGCTGTTGAAACCCGGCATCGCCCGGTGAACCCAGTTTTTTTTCTCTCCATATAGCTACATTTGGTGTCAATACGTACTTCCTTTTCCATAGGAGTAACGTGTTCGCAACGTGAGGCCAGTTTGAATGCTCAGGTTGAACGCGTGCGACCATGGCGCGTACTTTGCCACTGTCGAATCAAACGAGAATTTATTCACTTTACAGGAAGGTGTGGTGCAGCAGTAACCTTACTCGCCGATCACCGTGAGTTTACCAGCTTCAAAGCAATGGTGGTGAAAGCTGGAATCAACGTCCGCTTGATAAGTTTAGCGAAGCCTGCTCCCGATTTGACAACGAATCAGTCGTACTTTGAGCTATGTCGTTAATAGATAAAGAGTTTACTCTCACGGTTTTGCTCCCGTACACTGGTCATCTTCCAGCTCATTATCGCTAACTTTCTTCTGTCATCCTCTGTTGCATTCCAAATCATCTTCACTTTGAGATCTCGAATTTACGGGTTTGCTACTAATTCTTACAAAGTAAGTTTTTCGTGGAGTTGTATATTTTCTGAAACTAATAGCGTACTTTAGATGATAGATAATAACGAGCAGGGAATATCTCTCATAACGCTGGTGAAGAACTTGAGTAAAAGTGAGCCTCCTGGAGGTGATCATTATCCTTCTTATCTTGTTTATGGTAAGTTCGTTTACACACTTTTTTTTATTTAAGCAACTCAATTTTTTCTGTTTTTTTATCAGCTATCTGGCGGCGAAGTTGATCATCAACAAACGATCTAGCGGAGGAGGCGCGGGAGGGGAAGGGGCGGGCCTTGTCCCATTCTACGACCGACAAATGTTATCCTACCAATCGCCCTCGCCACGCACTTAAAGCGTTACCATCCAGTAGCGATGTTTTTTGTTATTGTTGCCATGTTTTTTGGAATGTAAAAAATCCTTCTGGAATTTCTTTTGTTTGGTAATAAATGTGGATATGTTGTGATATGTGGTGTGATATAAGAATTTAAGAATTCGTCATAATTCGCCGAAAAAAAAGCCCAAAAGCGTTCAAGAAAGCCCGAAAAGGCCCAAAAAAGCCCGAAGGAGCCGGAAAGCAGAAACGAAATTATGGTCGAATTCTGACGCTATTTTTACGTGCAAATATCAGAAAATGAAGCAAAAAGACTCGTTACGAAATCAACATTATGCATTAACATCAAAACGTGAGGGGGCTTTCCTGCTCTTTCTGGCGCTTTTGGGCTTTTCCGGGCTTTTTTGGGCTTTTTTCGGCTTTTTCGGGCTTTTTTGGGGCGCTTTTGGGCTTTTTTCGGCGAAGTATGACGGGTCCCTTACACAGAGAAGAAACCTGCGAGCTTCCGGGGGGGGGGGGGGGAGGAGGAAGGAGGGAGGGGGGGGGGGGGGGTCGTATCTAGCACGGCCATGGGGGGGGGGTCGTTTTCGGTCGGGCTGAGCCTGACCTCTTGCTCAACTCTGGTCGCAACTGA